CTCACATTCTAAATAATTCACAATGATATCCATAAAAGAAATCATCTAGATTATTGACCCATATAGTCAAGACGTGCTGAGAAATAAACATCATAATTATAACATATGGCATTAATATAACAGCTGGCAGGTAATTGACTGCTTTTGTTTATATATCTACGATCACTCAGACCTTTGAGAGTTGTAGCTAACGACTGCACACATTTTTCTGTACTGGAAGAAGTTTTACTGCTACTATTTGATAAACAAATTGAAGACAAGACTTTTTGTATTGAAAATATATGAATAGTTGATATATTCGTCGGTTTTCTTAAATTTTCAAGCATACGAACATTTACACTCGCTTTCTACCGATCGATTTTCCATAAAAGTTCAATTACGTAGATAAGGACGAAGAAATATGCAAGAATTAAGATTTCAATTACAACAAGTGCTGAACATAAATTTTGGACAACTAATCGATAGATAAAAAACATCAACAGCTATAATAAACAGATATATATATATATATATATATCGATGAGAACGATCCAAAAATCAATCAACAAATGTTTTAATATAAATTTATAGACATCAATTGCTTATGTAGACAAACTATACTTCATCAATACAATCCTGAGATCAGGATAAAGATTGATTAAGTTGTCATACAAGTTGAAGCTTTATTAATCACTCTGTATCTTATTATATTTTTATTATCAACACTCATCACCTAATTAATACTAAGAATTACACTACAAAACTTCATTAATCATACGGAACAAAACAAATATAGTAGTCTTTCAAAATAGAATATTTGTAACACTTATCAGCGGCGACAAGTATAAGGTGAATCATTATGATGAATCTGTAATTATATTTTGTGTTAGTCATATACATAGATAAGACTATTGCTGCTGATTGAAAAGGTACAATATGGAAAAAAAAGAGAAGAGTTTTAAGGATAAAATAAATATAGAAAATATGAATTGAAGTTCTTTTCATCAAACATATTTTTTGGATTTAAATTTTTTTATATTAATGTACATCACTACCATTCTATGAAAACAAAGATGTCTTTATTGCAAGATCCTTATGTGCTTGATAAAATAAACACGATCAAATTATCTATTAACTTGTCGAGAGAAGTACTGGTATAGTAATTTAATTTGAATCTATAGTCACTTCTTATACGGAGAACGTTATTGATGTTGCATTGCTCATGAATCTGAAATATTTGTTCTTTTGAAATATTCTAAAACTACTGAGCTAGATATATCTATAGAAAGTATGGTTAGAAATTGCAAATTGTTGAAGTGATCAGGTTTTGTCTTTCTGCAATATTTTTAGTAATGAAGAAATTACCCATCTACTAATCGAAGAAAAAAAACAATAATACAGCAGTAGGTTTAGAAACTACATTTGTTATTGTAGTTGGATTGATGTCTACCAAGTTTTTGAAAGAAATATATACGAATAGATTGAACACTTAATTTTACTCATTGCATCTGCCCATAGTCTGAAATATTTGTACACAATTATTCGATTGATCTCTAACATAGAGCAATGGATTACTATCATATTCCAACATTTATGTCAAATTCTATTTGATTAGGTATGAACTTCTTAGTTCCTAATCATACTATAACACACACACACACACAGAGGAAAATTAGTGTTTATTGTGCATCGAATGGAATGAGAATCCTTCAGACCCCTGATGTACAAGTGAAAAATATGAAAACTATTTTTTTTTTAAATTTGATTTCCAGCATAAAGAAAGAAGATGAGAGTTTTTCTATTAAGGATTTAGAAGAGTATTCTCAATATTTTTATGATTTCTTTCAAAAAGATAAAAATGATATTAATAAATGTATGTTAATTATGTCAATACTTATCATCCATTTAGATGACAAAAATAAACATGACAATATTATCCTTTTATCTCCCATAACGGTTCCAGAAGAGTCACTAGTAAAACAACTATGGAAACAGAGCATTGTCCTCTTCTGTAGGCCAATAATATAAGCAGATCGACCAGGTGTGTTTCCCTGTATGTGCGGTAACTTGGCAACTCCAATTACCATTGGGGCAGTAGCGACATAAATTTTTTTTAAATGTTTTGCGAGCATCTTGTTGATCTCGCAAAAACACCATATATTTTATTAATTCAATAATAGGAATAAAGAAAGAAACCAACACATAAAAAGATTTCCTTTTTTTTTCCTCTAATACACATGTACTTCTGACACAACTGTTTATGTATATGAAACCTGTTTTACTCGAAATAATTAAATCATCAAGTAAAGGATACAATTATTGATTCATTCTTCTTCGACTTCGAATATGATAAGATTTAAAAGAATTAGAATGTAGGTGTGAGTGTGGTGGAGGTCTCTTCTTGTCCGACATCGACATTCACACCTGCCTACACCTATGCCAAACATTTATATAACAACAAATGATGTTCGTATTCATAAATGACGGCAGTCTGTTAACTTATCTATGCGTAAGCATTAACAAATATTGTGTTTAGACAAGAACTTCTAATCTTTTTTTTCATGTCATTACTCCCAATGGCAACTCTATTTGCCATTTTAGGTCGTACCATCTCTTGTTCAACTAATTCATGTGAAATTTTTGAAACGTTTTATTCAATGGTAGCAACTTTTGTCGGTATTTATCGCGTAGCACATCATCAAAATAAGTATTTCTTGTAGGTAAAACAAATCAATTTACAAAGAAGGAGTCTTTTGTTTTTGTGATACTCTCATAATTGTCTCTTTTGTAAGTCGTATATCTGAGGGACAGAGTAAGGATATAAAATGTTTTTGTTTACTAATTGATAGCTTAAGGAGTTCTCTACACACAGTGTATAAAGAGTTCGTTGATGTCACGTGTTCTGTATTTTCTACAATGTTTCTAAAAATGGCAATTCCAGTTGCCAATGGGAGGGTAAAAGGTTATCCACACACTATTACTTATAGATTTTCTAAGTCGTTCTAATTTTGTGCGTAATAGTTTATTCTTTCTCAAAAATAGAAAATCATTATACTAACATACGATACAAAAGTAATGGTACAAAATGTCAGTCTTTACAATTTTTTATAGACACAATTCTGGAAGGAAAATATTTTTATCACTCGATAGGAAA